ATGTCTGGCTGCACTGTGAGGTGCCCCCCTGCATGTGTCCCTAACGAAACCAGATCCTATGTAAACAGGGAGGCATCGCTGCATGGAGCAGGTTTGGGACAGAACTGCCAGATGTGACAGCCCAGAGGGCAGAAATCTCCATGGACAGATACTCCATGGGATGGCCAAGGAGTACCCGAGCCACACATCCTGCCCAGTATCACCTCCTCCTCTCACCCGGACCCAGGACCTCTGGAACTGACACTGGTTTCAACCAGGCTGATGATGGCACTTGAACCAGAGAGGCGCAGTCACGCTGGTGAGTGGAACCTTAGGCAAGTCTGGGGAGTATTTCCAGCCAAGACCATTGTTAATGTGGTCCAGATCCGAGCAGGCCCCAAGATCTGCCCAATCTGCCTTATCCCACGCTGCAGTATAGAAAACCAGTCAGGATGGGATGACTCGGCAGCAGGAGCAGAGTGAGGGATGACTTGGTGCCCACTCCTTCACCGAGCAGCTCTTTTCCCCCACCACACTTGGTGCTTTAGGAATACAAACCAACCCCAGACAGAAATTCAGGTGGGACAGAGACCTTCTTGTTCTAGTCTTCCCACTGCGCTTCCAAGCCCTGTAACTGCAGGAATACCCGTCTCCTCACAACGGAGCCCTGTTTCACTCCTGGATTTTTCCTACCCTCACTTCCCCTCCTCTCATCTCTCTCCATTTCTTCTCTGTGCTCTGCTTTACCCCATGTAATCTTTGTGTCCTTTGATCCTCCTGCCTCCTTCCTTCCTTTCCCCTGTCTCCAGACCTGTTCCCTTTCTCGCTGCTCTTGCTTCTTAGGCTTGTCCTTTATCCCTGCATCACCCACCTCTGGCCTGGGGAGAGGAAAAGCCCTGTCCTGCCTGTTCTCATTGATACACCAGGGCCTGGCACAGCACCGATGCTCTCAATGAGCCTCTTTATCACTCAGTAGTTCAGTAATACTGACAGGGGATACACACAGACCCTCACACAGGTAAGGTCTTGGTTTTCTGAGACAAGCCCACATCTTAAATGAACCTCCAGGAGAGGTGTTTGTCTTTTCATGGCTCTGTAATTACCAAGCTTACCAGTGCATGGTATAAATAATTCTCTTTATTGGCAAGTTTCAACTATGTGCTCAGCCTATACAAGACACAATGATGCAGAAAGTTCTTGTCCCAGATAAAAGAGAAACATGGAGGGAAATGTGAGCTAAAGGTAAAGGATAGAGTCATATTTTTCAAGTATTACATTCCATTCTGTAGGTGTTACAAACAGGACTGAGGCTTAAAGGAGGATCTGAGTAAGACGGCAATAACCTGGAGACAAGATGTCTGCAGCTCTGGTGTTCTCCTGATCCCACCTGGGTTTTGGGGCATTCCCTGGCCCGGGTCTGACCATTGACAACAAGGATCCAACAGTGTGTCACTGTGAGGCCCTCAGAGACCAGAACCCTGTTGGCAGGGTTCTCTGGAGACCTTTTGCCTTCTGAATGCCATAAACTACAGGATCCACAGAGCACTTGGGAATGGCCTTTACTGAGGTAGTTTGTTGGCCAGGCAAGCCTAAGTGCCAAATGAATTAGCTGCACGACAGAACATCCTCCTCTTTCTCCAGGTTCCTGACTCTTGTACATACTCTCTGCAGTAACCCAGCAAGGCTGAACTTCCAAATCCCAAAGGGAGCACAAACAGAGGTAAAGAAGGGTCAAAACAGTTCTGAAAAGACACAACAGATTCTGCCCAAAGGGGCATGGTCCACAAGGAAGTGTAATACCAGTGTTTCAGTGGTTATCTGAGCAGCTCGCTGAGGGAGGCCCCAGTAAAAGAGTGACTTTTGGTTTGACATCTCAATATGGTACCTTAAAAACATGTGTCATTAAAAAACACGCATTCACCATTTGCTTCAGAAGCAAAGAGGGCAGGGTGCAACCCAGCTGGGGGAAATGAGAAAGAGAAACATGTGCACTGCAAATTCACCACTATTTTCTACTGGATCCATGTGGGAAGGGAATTCCAGAGCTTACTCCCTATATTGTGGTGGGCTGCCACAGCTTGGTGGGGCTAAGAGGGAGGTTTCACTCTGGGTCCTCCTGGTCATGCTGCTTTTCAGGGCTGTCTCTGCAATGGTACAGGGAAGATGATTTGAAGCCAAGGATGTCAGAATTGGGGTTCATGTTTCTAGACAGCTGGAATACAGATTTGCTTTCTTAAACCTGGTCAGCTAGGAAGGGTAATATACAATACTGTGCTTCCTACCACCAGCAAAACCAACAGATCTGCCCATAAATTACCACCTCTTTAGTTTCTAAGTTAGCAGCTTTTTATTCATATCCCCACTGACACAAACTTGCTTGCAACAAAGAACAAAGTCCTTGTTCTGCTCACACAAACCATTAGCTCATCCTACTAACGGGGTAACTCTTGGCTAATGATGTCCTCACAGAATCAGCCGACCTGCTCACCCTACCTGCCAATCATCCCTAGAAGCATTGCCTCTGCTGTGCTTTGTACAGCACTAAAACCACTGCTGGCTCCAGATGAAGGTCATGAGCTTACTAATGATAACACTAATTCTTTTAGCCAGGTCCTATGCTCACTTTCCCACTCTGACCACAACACACCTTTCCAGCTGGTTAAAGAAGAGGTTTGCAAGGAGAAGGGAAGAACTACTTCTGCAATCCTTGCTCTATTTCTGAGCAAAGCAGGGTGACTTCTTAAAGCCCTCAGCACTGGGCTGAGAGCCAGGACCGGCTCCAATATGAGCTTCCTCTGTGGTCTCATCCCCTCCTTTATAACAGAGATTTAAAAGCTACTTATTTCCCACCAATGACAGGCAATGACATAAGAATTAGTTAATATCTTGATGGTGACTTGGAAATGCAAAACACCAGAAGTTTTAGTCCAAACTCACTCTATGTCAGATATTGCAGGAGAAAGAAAACAAACCAATCCAAACCCAAGAGACAAGCTTGAGCTTTAAGCTGTCAAAGAGTTTAGATTTCTTCCTTAATTGGAACCTCTTAGAGATGCCAGAAAACCCCCATTTTCTTCTGTATTTAGCAAATGCCAATTCCCTGACCACCCCATTGCTGCTAATTGGGCAGAGATAACCCCAAATTACTCCTCTCTATGTGGCACATCATTGTCAGTGGCAATGCTGGGAATGCTCCTTGCCTATTGACTGATACAGCTGCAGAGCCAGGAGGGAAAGCATCCAAACAGTCAGAGAGAGACGAAAGTAGCTAGCAGCATCAAAAAGTCTAAGTTAAAATCATTTCTCTGCCTGGTAATGATTAACTAAAGGCAACCTTTAACAGTCTTGGAACACAAATGCTGTAACAAAAGGGACATAAAAGTCTATACTTATCTACTCTGATGCTGGAGACAAGCAGATGCCTCAGAAAAGCAGTAATACCTGTTTCAACATCTCCTGGCTGGTTAACTGCACTCACATTTACATATGAATTTTGCTTCTATCCTCTCCTGAACTGGCAAATAAAACAGGACTTTCAAGTCTTCAGGCATAGCTGCTACCCGCAAATAGTGCAAGTGCTTCCAAGTGAGCTCAGAAGGCAACACCTGAAATAAGAACATGAGAACCATGAAGACTCAGTGCACCTATCCCTAGAGATTGTCTTTGACCAGGAACATACTCGATGCTTCAGAAGATGATGTTAAGAGTTACCCAAGTAACTATAGAGAACAACCTGGCCAAACAGGCAGTTTCTCCTGAGTATCTGGCCATTAATTGCTGGCTGTCTAAAGAAAGAGGTCTCACATTCAATTTGTTTTTTCTCTTCATGCCTTGAAATGATCAGCCCTTTGTTTCAATGCTATGGATTGCTGGCCCAGTGCTGCCCTATGGTAATGCCCCCCAATGGCGAGTTGATGCAAGGCCATTTTCAGTTTGATCAATTTTGACATCGTCTGTCTGTCTCCCTGCCACTCGAGCTAACTTTGCCTTCCAGCTCTGTCAGCTCCAGAACAGAACTCAGACATCAAAAGACAGAGTCAAGGTTATCACAGGCTCAGCTGAGAAGTGCTCGTAAGAGTCACTTTCCCAACTACAGACAAATGTGAGAACTCGGGATATCAGTTCTGAGCTCAGAGCTGAAAATAGCACACACTCCTACAGGAGGAATAACAGTCCTTAAGGAGCAGAAGGGCATCCTAAAGGAGAGTGAAGAAAACAGCTCCAAGAATCCCACAGAAGCACACTTGGCTGCGGCAGCAAAGAGACTCTCTCAGGCTCTGTAGTATCTGGAGTATTCACTCCTTCTTGCTCAGAAATGCATCCTTGAAATCCAAAGCTCTTCTATCTTCCACTAGGAACAGCCCTGCCTCGCCACCCAGCGCATGCTCTCAAGGGCACTACATCAGGGACTCACGTTGTGTCTGTAGTGGCTCAACTCTGCTCCTACTGGAAGTAAAGGGAGTTTTCCCAGTCCTTCCAATGGAAACAGCGTTTGCCCAAGTGTTTAAATGCAGTAGTGAAACGAGGCAGCTCTGGGACACAACCCTAAGCGACCAGCACCTGCACTCTAAACTGAGACAGAGCCCACAATAACAGGGAGCACAAGGCAAGCTCTGCTATCCAGAGTGAAAAGATGGTATGTAAGAAATGATCTTAAACAACAGGATGTGACAGAAGTTGAGTTCAGTCCAACCAACTCACTGTCTTTCATTCTCAAGCTCTGATCAGTCCATATCACAGAACTATAAAAGCCTTACCCAAGCACACTGCCAAATGTTTTTCTCTGGGTTACAAACACAGGAAAGAATGGGGGAGATATGGCAACAGCAGAGACAAGCCTGGCAGATCCTCCAGGTGGGGCGAGATCCAGCACTGCAGGATCGGATCCTCTTTAGAGTTTAGCCAGTGGCACATATGGTATAAGCTATGGAAACTGTCCCATTGGATTTTAAAACACAAACACAGCAGAATGTCATCATAAAGAAGCAAAGTCTGTGTTAAAAAATTCTAAGGACACAACATTTTCTCCAGTTCTGACACCTTTTTAATAGAAATCACTTGTTTAGGAAACAAATAGCACTTTTTGTAGTTTTTTTTTTTTTACAATGTTTCTTACCTTGATCTTATTTGAAGTAACACTAGGAAGACCTCAATAGCTTTTATTTTCCTTTTTAATTTAAAAAAGTTGTTTGTTTTTTTTTTTCCCCCAGATACAAAGATTTTGCCCTTGCATAAAAAAACAGTGCCCAAAACGATGACACAAGGACTCACAAAGACTCACTGTATCTCACTGACACTATTACTTCTAATCTATACCATGCAAGGTCCCATCTACCTCTTTAATTAGACTGTCAGCCTGAAAAACAGCTTTTCTATTCCTTATTTAGTTCTTGTTACCAAAAGAAGAGAAAGGAAGTGAAAGAAAAGGACATTTCTCTGTTCAGTTCACACATCTGGGTCATGTGCTACTTTGTTCAGGATACCTTTGTTGTTTATAAATATAGAAAAGGGTTGGAATCTCATTTTCAAGTAATCGATGCACATTTTCTCTTGGGACACCTCCGTCCAATGCTCCAAGCTGACCCTGGATTCTGTCCCTCTTGTTTTCCCATTCCCAACATAGGCTTTCTGGATGAGTGTGAGGACCCAAACCGATTCTGCAAAGCGTGTCTTGTTGTTTAATGTGATGAAATAGGATTAACCCAAAGCTGTTGGGACAGTAGATCCTCAGCCTGTACATGTGCTGGTTACTCAGTGAAAAGTCCATCTCCTTTCCTTTTGTATATCTCCTGTCTAAACAATAGTAAATACTGCTTATTTGATAGACTTGTCCCTTCTGGGCACTGGGATTTGATAATTTATATTTCTGGTTTTTTTTGGTTTAATAGTACTGAGAGTTTAGAAACAGGAAAAGCCCACAGGCTCTTTGGATTTGTTTTTGTTTTCCCCTAGCTAAACAAACTGTTCTGCAAATAAGGATTTGAAACCTGCTCTCCTCCCTCATCCCTGCTCCTCACCCCGAACAAAAATAAAACAAACCTATAGTGGCTGTGGAGGCTGCTGCAGGCACACACTGGTGTAAAATATAGAGAGAGTAAATATATTATTTCACTTGGCATGGTGCTGGCAAAGAACCCCCAGCTGGCACTATTCATGTAACATGATCCAAACTTTGCATGTACACACAGAATAAGAAGGATCAATTGGCAAACTCCGGTGCCGCCTGGCACAAGCATCTTCACGCTCTCTCTGGAACCAAAGAACTAAAGAATTCTGCACTTTCCAGAAGAAATCCAGTTTTGCTTTACTAGAGTTTTCATTATTTTGCTCTTCCTCCTCGCCGCCACCTCCCTTGGCTCCTTCTTAACTTCACTGTGTTATTTAGTCTCATCGCCCTTGTTACAGTTCACCATGCAGCTCTGGGAAGGGGAGGGGGCTAAGGTGGAGGTGGCAGCATTAGTATTGTTAGTGGAGTCCATGCCGTTGGAGATGGCTACTGAATTGACCTCAGAGTTTATGGGTTTTGAAAGGTCGATGCCTTGGATGAGGCGGATCAGCTGTTTTACCTTCTCCAAGGAGCTGTGCATCTCCTTTTGTTTTGCAAGGATGGTATTCTTCATTTCCATGCATTTCTGCAGTGAGACAGAAAAGCAGTAATAAGTTCCAGCTTATGAACAAAAGAAGGCAAAAGAAGGAATATGAGATTCAAAGACCTAAACTTAAGTACAGAGAAACAGCTGCAGCTACAATTCCACTCTCTCAGCCCAGAAGAAAAAGAATCTTAGGGCTGTGTTCAGAAGAGAATTGATATTTGCAGGCTACTGTCACCTAGTATGGCCCCCTTTCATCCCAAGGTGTTCTGCAAATGAACACAGACAGCTCCATCCTTTTGTGTTCCTTCTGAAGGGAAACTTCCAAATACATGTTCTTCTTATTTTTTTTCTATTAGTATTACATTGGTGGGATTTCTTTAGCTCAGATCTGCAAACTCAGGCATCCTACTGCAGCTGACTGCTGACAGCATGTGTGCATGCTGCTAATGGATACAGCCTTTGCTTTCACATGCATTTTAGCAGGAACATCACTTCCTCCTCTCAATAAATAAAGGGGCACTTGAAAAGAAAAGACAAGCCCTTCCTCACTTGAAAACCTTATTTTGTGGCCCCTTCTTTCTCTTAGAAAGGATAGTAACCTAGCTAGCTCATCAGTGATGAGTCAGGGTAAGGTAACTTTTAAAAAAGCCCACAAATGATGTTTCAAGGCTGAAAAACTGCTTATATCTTAATTTTAAACTCTCAGAAAGGAGAAGATGGTAGCTATGTTTGTAACATTCAGGTTCTTACATAAAGATGGCAACCTTCCTGCATTTTTTAAACCTCTTCATGCTGATCTCCAGACCCTGTTGTTTTCAGCTTTACTATTTTCACCCACAGCTCATGGTGTCATAAAAACACCACAAAATTTAGAACTAATGTGTCTTTTTTTGGACAGTTCCAGTGAAAATATAAACAATGACTTGATCATAGAAAATAAACCACTCTCCTTATCTACTGTCAATCCCTCATGTTAAGGGCTTGCATCTGCCTGGGTACACCACTGAGAAATAGTGTTGGTGCTCTCAGGTTATGTTCAGCCACTGCTAACCAGAAGATGACAATCTCCAGAACTTCTACCCAGCACTTCTCACCACTTTTTTGCTCACAGTAATTTTATTTGTATCTTCAGCATTTATAATGGGTATATAAACATGGGACACTTACTTTTGTTCTAATAGGTAAAGACAGGCAGACCAGCAAGTGCATTTGTATTTTAAAAGTCTGTATTTATGTATCCAGCCTTAGAGATGCTGCCACATGAGAGACTGAAATGAATGGCTCCAACTTTCCACTGGCAACTCAAGAGGCTGCTTTGCATATTAAGGTGAGAAGAGAGAGCGATTTAAGATGTATACTTCAACTACTGTGATAAACTAAGGTGGAAACTACAACTTCTGGTTCAAAGATGACATTATCTAATTAATATCATGCAGAGGCATGCACAGTGTCCAGCTGCTGACTGCCAAGGCAACATGTCAAGAGCCTGAGAGTCAGTCATGAGGAAATGGTCACTTCTGTATTAGCAAGGTCTGGAAAGCATACACCAAGACTGTAAATCTTATTACACACAGAGGCCCAACCATTCGTATTGAAGTAAGCCACTGGAGAATTTGACTTAATTTACTGCCCACGCATCATAGTGCTCTGGGTCACGTTTGTCACCTGCTGCTATTATAGGTCACTGTATCTACAATGTATGGTCAGCGTGGATCAAGTATAAGTGACTCAATGTAAGTGTATGTGCCTGTATTTCATTCCCGCTCCTGGAAGTCCTAAAAAGCAAAGGAAAGTGCTCACTCAATTCTCAGTAAATCCAGTGGAAGACAGGTTTAGTACATGGAGTCACTCCACAGTTTTCCCTCTGCATTCTGGCACCAGAACTCAGGTGCAGAATTATTTGGAAGGGCAGTACTCACCGTTATAGAATTGCTGAGCTGTTTGACCTTCTGCTCTAGTTGTTCTCTTTCCTGTTTTAAATCTGAACTCCATTTAAGTAGTTTCTGTTTTTCCTCTTCTTTTGCTGCAAAATGGGGTATAAATCAGAGTATTTAAAATGTTCCTGTTACAACAGTGGGTAGAGGGTCTAAACTGCTTCAGGTAAAGAGGGTAATTGTGCTTAAAGTCAATTCAACAACTTGTGCACGACTTGAATCACCCCCAAAATTTCACCTCATACAGAAACATCATCTGTTAAGAAGGCTTAACAAATATTTAGACTGCTATTTTCACTTTACTAGTGATTAAGGTTCTTTCCCTTTAGTTTCCTTTTGTAAAGAAAGCACCATTCTATCCCATTCCTGAAATAACATCTTCCATTATTAAAAGTGAAACAAAAGTGTTGTTCTCCATTTTCCTACCTGCTTTATATGCAATATATGAATGAACAATTGCTAAAGTTCCTGGCCATGGGATTGCTTCTTCCTTCTTTAGCATCTGAAAGAAAAGTATTTAGAGATTTAGCGGGTACCTCTAAGAAAGCAAAAAGGAGAAAGATGCAAAGACTGAGGATTTTCTTTTATGGCTGTCATTAGCCTCAGCCCTGTTGACATGAAGCTTCACAGACCTGTTTTGAGATTTAACAGAGGGAATTATTCACAACTGTATTGTGGCTCCCACAAAGCAGGCCTGGTTCTTACAAACGTCAGCGTTTTCTCAAATTCCCTCCATAGCCATGGATAAAGTCTGCTAATGAAACTGAACAACTTAAAAGAGGGATGAAAAGATAACGTATCTGAACTCAAACTTGCCAGGAGACATAAACATTATTTCATGGTTCAGACAAATTGCTTATCTTAGGTGTTCTGGGAGAAAAGTTTTCATGGCACAGAACAGCCTCCACACCATACATTCAAACATCACACTTACTGGCTAGTAAAGCACGAAACCTTCCTATCTTTCCCTTCTTATCAGAATCATCTTAATAGAGTTGTCAAACCCTCTTTGTAAGGGTAAGCACCATCCTAACAAACTTAATTTTGAGAGGAAGGACACGTATTTTTAATGAATGAATCAGAAGATAGAGGACATGGTCACTTTACAGTGAAATTACTAGATTTCCCCCACTAATTTTGTGGGAACCTATCACAGAAATATGAAGAGGAGGGATAAGGTGAAAGCAGGCAAGAGCAGGAGTGGCAACACTCCCTCCTCTCTTGTAACTACTGACCAAGACACTTCAGTTTTGCATTTTCATGCTGCTGACCAGCAGGTCAGGCTGTTTTCTTACACTACCATCTGGCTAACTGAAGGTCACGTGGGTGACGAAGCAATATGCTCTATTAGACAGAACACAATAGCTTCAGGCTTCTGATTATCAGCAACCCTTTGCAACTTCTGCAGCTCCACTTAAGGGTTTACGTCTTTGTCTTGCAATCTCAATGCAATTATAAACAGAATATTCAAATATAATCTGTTCACTTCAACTGTGTACTTTCAGCAAGGGAGCTGGAAGGAAGAACCACCAAACTGTTCACATATCCTCATTATACTGACGCTGGATGATATTATCAAAGACATCACTGAAGACAACCTCTCTGATGTTTGATTTATATAAGCAAATAGGGGCTTACATTTGCTCTATCTACTGAGGTAGCATAGTACAAATGTTTTATTTATTTGTCCAGAAGAATATACTAATAACTTTTGAAGAAACAACAAGCTTCAGATGAACAGCAACAATTCTATGGGCCATAGAGGACCTTCCCCAAAAGTCTGCATGCTTTAGGCCAGAAAAAACACATGGGTAACATATAAAGACCCCAAATTTGGGAGCAAGACCAAAGAGTTTTGCATTTGCATGCATTCCAAGAGAGGTAATTTGATGAAATTCACACAAGCCTTATTACAGATCAAATTGATCTGCTCAGTGTCAGGCTGTCCTGATCTAAGCAAGCCAAGTGATCTCCTTATTTTTTTTAACACCCCAAAATCTTTAGAGTGCATTGTATCTAACTCTCCCTTTGTCTGTCAAACAATACCTGGTCTTGACATTTGGGACAGATCCACATGCCCTTGGGAATGGTTTTCAGAGGTGGGTCCAGGCAGTCCAGGTGATAAACACGTGAACATGTGTCACACATCAGCAACTGCCCGCTTTTTCTGCAAACACTACAGAAATCCTCATGGATATCACCCTGTGAAATTGAGGGGAAGGGGTGTGGGGAGAGAAACAGACAGAAAGCAAAAAGTGAACTTTCACCTTTGACATCTACAACCCAGCTGAATGCAAAGTTTACAGCACAAACTATTTCTAAGGGGATTCCAAATGGTCAAGCCCTTTTTAGGCTGTGAAACATGAAAACAAGGCAGGATGTCAGAAACACTAACATCTGTGCTCCCAAACACTCCCTCTGTCCTCCCAAGGCAAAATGTTACAGCAAACACTTATTACTACAGCTTCCCTTAACAGCTGCTACCCTGTAGCTTTTCTTCTTTAAGATTCCCTCCTTACCCTGCCTTTTTTCTTTGCCTAAAGTGATGAGCTACCCACTTCCTTAACCCTTCTGGATGTAAGCCCAACTCCACTTCAGGAATGCTGATGAGGCTGTCTCTCGCCAGTAATACTATGTAAGAAACCCCGAGTGACTTAGAAGAACACTGTCAAATATTTAGGTCACCTTTAAAAAACTGGAAGGAAAAGGTGTTGTGCTTGTAAATGAAAAAGAGCAGCATGAATTATGCTCTGAGACAATTCTTTTTACTTCACTTGGGTTACCTCAAGTTGCACCAAAAAAGCTGTGACTCAAAATTTTCTCATAAACCACTATAGAGTGGTTTATTTCACCACTAACAGAGGCTGAGAGCCATGATGAAGGAATACCAAGAGAGATTTTCTAAAGGGGTTTTTAAATGGAAGAATTGAAAACATTACTGGCAGTGTCTCTTAAAAAAAGAATAGATTTTGTTACTACCACATCACCATCGGAGAGAATTTTCTTATACAGCCATTAACTTTCCAGAAAGGCAAGTCTGTTTTTTGACACTTTTTCTTCTCTCTCTCTCTCTCTCCTCCTATTACTCCCACCTCATGTTTGGAGCAGTGGTGGTGTTTCTGTTTGCTTTTTGGATATTGGAACACAGAGGCATGAAAGAAAGAGCTCAGCATGCACAGAGGAGGAGAGGGGCACCTCAGCCCTCCCCTCACACTGCCCGTGGGCTGTCCTGGCAATATTCGAGGCTCCACCTGGTCACTGACTTTGGTTAAGTTTCATACAGACACCAGATCTGCAAGACTGTGATCTTAAGATGAGTGTTTAAGTCAAATTGTGTATACACAGAATCACAGAATGGTTTAGGTTTGAAGGGACCTCAAAGCTCATCCAGTTCCAACCCCCTGCCATGAGCCCCTTCCACTAGAACAGGTTGCTCCAAGCCCCATCCAACCTGGCCTTGAACACTGCCAGGCATGGAGCAGCCACAACTTCTATACTCCCCCTGTATGAATTATCAACGTGTGCAAGGTTTCATTTTGCCCTGTACAGTCTTTCCACATATGCGAATAAGTTTTATCAATTTGGAGGGATAGCAGATTTGGCTGTGTGCTTACATATTAAGATGCCAGGCAAGAAAAATGACACTAATCTCTGCTATGGATAAAATATTAAACATATTAGAAGAATGACACATAAGCAATCTGCTCAGGTTTCTACTTCCCAGCTCTATTGCTGATGAGGCCTTTCTTCAAAGGGAAGGCTATTCTTCTCTTAATTCCCAAGGTTAGCACTGATGTCATGTTTTGTAAAGGATTAATCTTCAGTGAATTTTCAGTGCCATGTTTTGGTTCCCTAACTCCCAGGGATCATTGAGTGCTGGGTTAGGGTATTACTTCATCCTCTAACACCAAAGAGTTCCTCATTGTTAAATGAAGAATTAAATGAGTGACATTTCATGCCTCTTCCGAAGTGATCTATGTGTAACCAGGCTGGGAAGAACTACTTTTCCTGTATCATGCATTCTGTGAGTGTAAAGAAAAGGTGGCAGCAGGAGATGTTGTATAAGCTAAAACAAAATCCTCTGCAACCTAAGGACAAAATGAAGAAGCAAATTCTCACATTTTAGAAGAAAATCCTTGTTCTAGAGAATGACATGTTAAGGTGATTTGGTTGCCACAGACAACACGACAGCACTTGGTGAGTGGCTCAGGTGCAAAACTATTGGTGTGTTGAAAACCAGACCTGTTTTGTCTAATACCCTGCAGAAGAGACTGACACAAGAGACACCTGCAGTTGCTTCTTGAGGGAATACATTTACAAATTTAGACCTGGAACCTTCTAAATTCAACTGAACACTACGAAATCTGAAGTGACACAGCTGGTCGGCATGCAGTACGGCTAAATGTGTTGAGATGACCACACACAGGCACAAAATCCACAGTCCTATTTCTGTAATGCAAAATTCAGGGCATTTCCTCAGAGTTAATAATTGGCCTTACTAAAACCTCAGCCACTGTTTGATTTCAAAGAAATGTCCCAGGTTTTATGGGCAGTTAATAAATATATGCATAAAGGGGGGCTGGATTTGATGTTGTGACATGCACTCCACTAATCCCCATGGCAGGGGGGTTGGAACTAGATGATGTTTAAGATCTTTTCCATCCCTAACCATTCTATGAATCTCAGGTTCTGGACCAACTCTGTGAAGGCTATAGGTAGCCAACTTATGCTAGAGCACAGCTCACTGAAGCTGCTCTATCACACGCTACAGGCTGAAGAGTCTGAAGAGTAATTTCAGAACAGAGACTGCAAAAGGTGATTTAACGTCACTTTTTGCTCTACTTCCTCTGCACCAACAGACCAGGAAAATAAATGAAAGCGTTTTGGACAGCTAACAGTTTTCTTCATTTTTATAAATGTCTAGAGCAGCAGGGCCTGGCTTTAGGCAGTAGAACTGAATAATACAATATCAAATCAGAAGTATATCCAGTTTGTGTGCTTTAATATGTATTATCTATACTTATATGTACATTTCACTGGAACAACAAGGGAAAACTAAATATTCTCCGAAAGGAATTGTTCATGACCATATAAATAAATATGATCACAACGATGTAAGTGAATTAAGTTATGAGTAGCAATAATAATTCTGTCATTTCATAGGCTTGACTTTTCAATCTGAATGTTCTCTAGTGCTCCTCTCAATTAAAACATTGTTTTGATACAAAAGTTTGCTAATAAAAAGGTATTCTGTGACCACAGACTTGAACCATCACTAGAAAAGAGGGTTTTGCACTATTACTACTGCTGAGTAATTGATCCTCAAGGGCAATTCCTATCTTCCTGGTGAATATGCCACTACTGCATGAGGGAGAATCACACATAACCAAGGCAGGGGAAGAGAAGTCCTGCTCATTACTTCCCAGGTTTTATTCCCACTTTCTACCCCTCCATCATTGTCACCAATCAAATCTCAAGTTCCTGTTTTATCCTCCCTTCAAAATTTATCCCTGTCATTCAGAGAATGACAATTCAGGAGAAAGGCAAGAAGGCTGTTCTGGGCCATGGTGCCAACTGTTTGGCTTGATTTGTTATTTTCATAGGCTGGCTAAAGACAAATATTACTCAAGAGCTAAACATGAAATGTCCATTCAAAAGCCTCTATGAATTAGACCTTCTCAGCAAATTAATGCAAAAATACTTTAAAGATGGGCAAACTGCAGTTTTCTTCTGTATCTGTCTGAGGAATTGCTCAACTGTTTTAACTGAGACTTCTGAAATAGCCAACTTAGACATGCACTTGTCATGTTTTCATTTTTAAATCTCCAAAAGCTGGAGGCTGTAACTACAGAAATTGTCTGTCCCATCTAGAATAAATAGATCTTTCTATATTCACATCATCTGCTAACAGTGTACAGCCTCTTCAACATGACACAGAATGGCCTCACCACTGAAAGAAACAATCCTGCTGTCTCTATATGCCCAGACATTCATTTCTGCTCCTGCATGAGGCTGGCACAAGAACTTAAGTGTCTATAAAATTAACTGTATTAGGGCATGTCTTGGCTAAGACTAATGATTTTTAGCTATGCCAGCTCCCTTATGCAGATCACAGTGTGGCCTCAGATATATCTGTGCTGGAACACCATAGAAGACACTTAAGGGATAAGAAAAGGCTGCTGGTGACAGTCAGGACAGTTCTTCTCAGTGATAGCAGCAGTCATAAACTGTGGAATGAGCCCTTCAGTGTGTTCTATATCTAATTAAGCTGCAAGATCCTTAAATATCAAGACCTATTTCTCCTTTTTGTCTTCACCTCCAGCACAACTCGTACTGTTGGTGTTTAAATATACAGTCCTTCCCCAGCATTATATAGCACTTTTCCAGCCAAGGATGCTAAAGGTTTTTACAAGTCTTGCTAAGTTCTCAAAACTCAGCTGGGAAAAGGAGGGATCATGCCAAACGTGTAAGTGCGGAAGCCGAGCCACAAAAAAGGGATGTGACTGCACAAGCTTTTACAGCAATTTTATGACAACATATTAACAGAAAGCTACCTTCCAGCTCATGATGGCAATGGGAAACTACTCCTCTATGATTAGCAAGTAAAACTTGTAACATGTAATGACAGAAGATCTCATATTTACATCCTTTCCAGTATTTTTTCTCTTTCTGCAGGTTCAAATTTTAATGGTCCATTTGTAATTAAAAATATTTTATTGAGCACTTTGAAATAAATCTTCAACTTTTACATGTATTTTATATGGAATTCAACATAAAATATTTCTGAAAAGTCTACCAAATTAGGCCAACTGATAGAAAATATGCATTGAATTTGACTTGGGGATAAAACTCTTTAAAAAAATTAAACCCACAAAAATGGTAGTGCTGTTGCATCTTTATAAACTACATGACTTGTCTTTAAATGTCAGAGATTTATATGTAATTCTAAAGGGGAAAGAGTGCTACTGTGCTACATTATAATAACCTCAGGTAAGACAGAATGTTAATTACCTGCTGTTTAATCTTTCATTGTCTCCTTTAAAAGACTCCTATTGTCATTAATTAATGACTATTACAGCAAACCAGAGCCTAGGCCTAAATACTATCCAAATTCAGAGAATTCAGGGCATTCACAACTGGATTTGAATGCTACAGAAATTCACTATTCTTGATTTAGCTTGCTGCTGTCAAGCACTGCAGAAAACAGGGCAACAATTCATTATAGTGTTTTGATTGCTCTTACACAGTGGGAAAAGACTCCCAAGTCAGAGATGGAAAAGACCCCCACCACATTATCCAGTCCTTCTCCTGGGGCCTATGTAAAAAATGTGCTCTCCAGCATGTTTGCCAGTTGTTTGTGTTGCTTACTCTTATCCCCAGAGCTGGAGCTGCCCAACTTTCTCCCTGAGGGGCTGTTCCATAGTCCCATTCATTTAACTGTCAAGAAAGGGTTTTTACAGTCAAGTGCTATTCTGCTCTCAAAAATGACTATATAAAAGAGAACCTTTTAATTTCACGTACATATTCCCTGGGTATCAGAACTGCATCTATTTATTTCAGTGACTCAGACACACTTGTACCATTTCTATTCCTGTTACCTCTGCAGAACAAATACAGTCTAAAAGAAACTGGCTTTTATTCCCTAATGTACATGGCCAGCAGAGCTGGTGTCTCGGTCTATGTATTTACAGTGATGCAACTGCATAGATAAAGACAGAGAGAGTAGCCCATCTCTTTCTTAAAGCCCATTTCAAATGGTTTGGACTCAATTATATGTGATAATACGTTTAAAAAAGGGGAGAAGGGGATACAAGTCTGACTCAGATTGCAGAAGGAGTTTGGAGCACTGGTAGGAAGAAATATGCAATCACCTTTTTATTTTTAAACTGTGCCCATAAGCACTTTACTGGAAGTACACAACTAGAGAATGTGTGTGCAATGAATCCTTTCACCCATACTGAAGAGCCACAATACACTTTCAGACAAACCATGGAGTCTGTCCCTCCATAAAGTCATTTTGGACCTACACAGTGACTCAGTCCAATTCTTCCCACGCTAGTTTATCTTCTAAAGTTTATGACCTTTAATCTTTTACATCATGTTTTTGCAAGGAATAGAAACAATGAAATAACTGGATAGTTCTCAGCAACTTAAAAAATGTCGTGCTTTGAGTAGCAAATCTTATCTTTGAATTAACTTAAGGACACTCACTTCCTTATGAATTGTAATGATAGAACCAGATTGCACTTGAGACAGATTTTGTGCTCTGACCACAGGGGTGATGCATTCAGCTACACCAGTACACCAGAACTGTCAACCAGTGGTGTTCCTGGCTGTTGTGCATGACCCAAGCAGTTTCCCTCCTTCTCTCATTACAGAAACATCACAACTTTTGTTATTATGGTCTGTAAGCAGTACTTTTCATTCTCCCCTTCCCCCTTTCTCATGGATGACAGATTCAATTCAGTCCAACAAGATCTCACACATCGCACAAAGGAAATGAACTCATCTAGCATGCCTGGTGTCTCCCAGTGTTTCAATACACTGGAAGAGTTATAAATACAGGAAAAGAACATAGGTGCAGGAGAAGGGAAAGCTGTTAAAAGAACACTGGACTGTTTCACTGTGCTGAATAAGGACAAATGCTGAGTGAGACTAAAGAAACAAAATCTGCAACCATTTTCCTTGTGGCTGTTTCTAAAAGTAACCCCCTCCCCAAAAGTTACTTACGTCTGTGGAGCTGGGGCTAGGCAGGGACACAGGCTGAACAGCTGCGGGAAAGGTAAATGTGGTCTCTGTCTTTTCATTTTCGGGGGAGTCAGGATAACTGGACAGAGGGGATGTGGGGGTCAAAGCCCCGAACCCCAGCACCGTGTTGTATTTGGGTGGACGACCTACATATTAACAACAGGGAACACACAAAAAAAAAGAAAAAAAGAAAAAAAAGAAAGGAAAAATGATCTTACATACCTTTGGCCAGTGGTCCTCATTGGCTAGCGTGAAAAAGGAAATGATGTAGCACAGAGAGGAAGTTAATATAAAGGTTACAAGTGGAAGGACAGAAGCAAAGATTTAAACATTTCTTTTTTAGAAATCTTTAAGTAGATTTTGCAAGGAAAGAACACTTAAAAGATGTATTTCAGAAGGAAATAGAAATAAGCTCTGCAGAGGGTCAAAGAATCACTGCCACAAAAGCAGCGTGGGGACACTTGCCACTCCTAGAAAAGAGGCTATTCAGTTTTTAGGGGTAACATGTTGGCATCAAAGCTGGAGAGAAGCTACAATAGCTGCTACTAAATCCCTTCTACTGTTATCCCACACCTCTCTATCTTTGTAGTGCCAGCATAAATCTACACAAAGGTTAGGTTCTTTATCAGAGGCCAGCACTCACCAACTCTCTCATTTTCCACCCCTTTTCTTAAACCCACTCACCCACAGATCAGCACTTTCTACTCTACTGTACCTTTTCTTAAATTAGGCTACCTCAAGAACAGGTCCTGTTGTCTGACCTGTAACTACTATCAGTTGTAACCTCCCACTGGTCTTCCACTGTAAACCCCCCCAAATTATGTATCTTTCTCAGACTTTCTCAGTTCAAGTATGTTTGATTATGCACAACTCCTATGTAGTCCTTTAGACCAGCAGAAGTGCAAACTGCATTTAAAACCACTTTCATAAAACTATGTCTGCAAAGCAGTACAACAAAAAACCCAGTATGTAACCATCATTTCTGCCTCCCTTCTCCAGGGTAATTTATGGATATGTAAACATAAAGGAGCTAGAACCTAGGAATAATTCCCCAGACCTTATGTTTACAGATTGTCAGTCTATACCTATTAACATGCTAAACCTTGCATTTAAGGTCTGGATATGTTCCAGAACTAAGTATGTCCTTGGAAACGATCTCTGATAGTGATGTCCATGGCTGAAATTTCTGACATGCTCAGCACCACCTAGAATTAAACTAAAGCTCTCAAGGGCACATGCTTGCATTAGCTTTTCACCTAATACACTGCTATCCTAAATCACAAAACAAACGTATACATCCAAATCTTCTGTCAACTGAAAACGTGTGCTACTAATTCGGTGCCAATGCAAGGTACAGACTCACAACAGGGTGTGAGGAAAAAAAAGAAAGTATAATAGCAGTCAGTATGCAAAAAACAGGCTAAGAGAGTATTGAGTACAAAAGCATGCAATTGTTTTCATTGATATAGTAATTGTTCACAATGATTTATGAAACAGAATTAAGAAATCATTACTAGAAGAAGGAACATTTACTTATCCACAGAGTAAATGCAAACCTCTCTCTCTCAAATCTACATCACATCATTTTAAAAAATACATTTAATGTTATTAGAGGATGGCAGTAGAGACTGATGGCTTTTATTTAAAAACAGCAGAGCTGCAGAAGTGTCAGCTTTGCCACATTGCCTGCTGGACTGAGGAGGTGTATCAAGGAGAGCATGTGTCAAATGAATATTTGACCTTGCAGCCAAAACCCAAAGATAATGGCAGCAGTCAGTGTTAGGTAGGACTGTGGGGTTTTTAATCTGAGTGATTACTTTTTTTTTAGGCACCAAACTCAGGAGTACGAGAATGTATTATGAGTCTTTAAGGACTCCAGAAAATCATCAATACCAGGGAAAGATTGTCATATGTGTGTGGCTGATGCCATGTGCAAAAACCACTACATTCTCCTCTATGCTGTTCTGACTCATCTGTTTCACCGTAATCTATGTCTTAAAATTTCATGTGATCTACAGAAGGATTTCTATTGAATAGTATGAAAGATCATCTCTCATTTTAGGACAAGTGGCACTCTGGTTGCAGAAAACTGCTCTGTATAAGCACAACAGCCTTTCTTGATCAAGATAAATTCTTTTGAAGGACCCACCTCTACTCCCAGTAGGGAACAAGGCTTTTGTCACACTAAGTTTCCTCTCCACAGACACTTTCTCCATAACCACCTTCTTCTTGACAGTGACAATACAATCTAGTTATTAACAAGAGGATCTTGACAGCAGCTTTATACCACTAAATGATGTTCAAACATCTTACCTTTCACTTTGCTCTATTGTTTTGGTTTTTTGGGTTGGGTTTTTTTTTGAGAGAGAGAGAAGCTGAAATGAAACCTTGAGCTGCCTAATGAAACCAGCTATGCTAATCCCTAGAAGCCATGATCTTTGTCTACCATAGAAATTTACAGTATGAAAAAGTACTAGAGGGTCCTTCTTTGTTTTGCTCTTCAAATCAACAAGAGCACTGCAAATGTAAGATGGAAGAAGAGGCATACAACAGGGAGGCAGGTCTAAGTGTACCTCACCTCTTTTACGTGTCCCAGGATGCATTGTGCTGTTCAGGTACGTGACTGCACTCTTCTTGCGCTGCAGGGAAGAATATGACAATTTATGTTGGCTACCATTTTTGGCAACGACTCCATGCAATAGCTGAGGAACAGCACAGTAGTACTAGGTGAGATTATAGGCTGTTCTGTTTTCTGAAGCTGTGCTTCAGAAAGGTTAGCTTTTTTACACTGCTTCTGACATCTGCATTGCTTCAGGCTTATATGCAACCTGACCTAATGGTAAGAGGAACACACACTACCATTTAACATCAGCTTCACATAGGAGAAGGCAGAAAAAGAACATCCCAATGTATTTACTACTTTAAAATCTGAGGGTTGTATCATTGCAATGGCCTTCTGAATTATAAATGGTAGCTTGCCTGTCTAGTTAGAACTGAGACAGCTTAGGAGGTAGTGTCCCGGTTTTGGCTGGGATAGAGTTAATTTTCTTCCCAGCAACAAGGCAAAAAGACACACAAACTCAGAACAAAAATACCAGCTTCCCCCAGCAAAAAATTAATACCTCAGGCTCAAAAACTGCTCCACTGTACACTGGATTTGCTGTTGTTCTTCTTTTCCTCTCTTGTCGCTTACTTTGGATTTCTTGTAAAACAAAAGCATTCAGGTTAGAAATCAATGGGTCTCTGAAATTATATAAAGTCCTCAGAGTTCAGTTTGCATGTGAGGAGAGCTGTGAAGGTTTCTACAGAACACCAGTCATGCCGAATATAGGTAACTTTGATTTACTTCTAATTTCTAAAGGTTTGAAAATTAAGAGCTGACAAGGAATACAAACACAGTGCTCAACAAAGTAATGAAATGATTGCCACCTTGTCGCCAAATACTCCATGACTAAGACATTTTAAACTCATGGTCAGTGTAATTGTGGTCTAAATTCAAAAGCCTCTGGCAGCATTGTTGATACTTGAGAATAAAAAACACACACGCCATTGAAATGTTAGGTTGTATTTCACTGTATAGGATTAAGGAATTTAAATTCTAAACCAAAGTATAAGCTATTAACTCATTCACTACAGATTTACAGTCCAATGAAATAAAAAATCCAGATGTGGGTTATAGTAAAATTATCCCTGATGTAACTCTGCAGCTGCAGGGGTTGCCCAGAAACCAATGGGATTGTCACAAACCTCTTTCCTACCATCAGAGGATACACTTTCCTCCCAACCACTGATCTCCGCTGCATAAGAAACTGCTTTGTTTCAATGTAATAAGGGGAATAAAAAGGTATGCACAACAAACTAAGTTAGACTCAGACTACAGACATCCAAAATGTACTATATACTGCAGTTAATCCAATTCAGAATGGTCAGGAAACAGGGAGTTCAAGAACCAACTTAAGACATTTTCCCTACCTTCCAGATGGTCATGAGTAACTAGTCCCAGAGACACCATGAAGGCAAGTTTCTGTGAGGGGGGAGAAGAAAAGATCATGACAAGTCCAACCATTAGGATAATCAGTGTCACTTAGCCCCTCTAAGGTCAGCTGACAGGTATCTAACAGCAATAATGTAATTAGGAATACTTTGTTTGCATAAATCAGTGTTTATTCATATGTCAAACTGTTTCACAAAGGATAGACAATGGTCCTATTTTCTAGATGGGAACCTAGAGTGGTCATGATCACTGAGTTGGCAGAGCTGGGAACAAGAAAGCTGGCCCTTTACTTAATGCTCACACAGTAGTCTGTTTGAATCCCATCTACAAAACCAAATCTAGTAGAGCACTTAGCTGTAATCCATTCCAAAGCTCTGCATGCTGGAAAGGCTTTAAGAAACAGCCATTCTGGCCGCTCTTTCCCCCCAAAACCAAATGGACCTAAACCAGAATAAAATCCAGGCAGAACATGAACATACATGAATGACTCTTTCCATCTTGCTCACCAAAGCAGAAGCATTTTATAAAGCAAAATAAAGACATTTCTGCAGCATTAAAAGTAACTCCAGAAGTCTAAAATCTCAAGGAATAGAAATCAACACTGTAAACTAAGCTTCCTGGTTGAAAGAAGTATCAGAAGTCAAACGCATTCCAATTTGCTGGGAATGAAAAATGCAACGAATTTTATGTATTTAGATTTCTTACTCTGTAGCCTTATCAATTACTGCTGTCCAACAGGAATGTATGGAATGCTGAAGTTAAGGAGTCTTGAGGGAACAGAGGGGGAAAAACGTTTTCTCAAGGACAGAGTGTTTCCTTTATTTTCTTGAAAGAAAGCTCTGGGTGTGTTCTGATACCTGTGGATTTTCTTCTCGTTTTGGCTTCGGCGCAGCAGGTGGAGTAACTGTACGACTTTCTGTCTGCTTTTCTTCTGCTTCCACGTGTGGTTTAATAGTCTGAAAAGAAAGTGTTTCTCTCATTCAGTGATAAAAATGACTTCTTTGACTAATAAAGAAAAAGAAATACTTTTGCAGATAGAGAAGAAAATCAGTTTAAAGCCAGTGGTGTACTAACAAAGACTTAAGTGAAGAATCTGGTGTGAGAGGAATGTTAAATAAGGTGTTTTCTCTTAACATGGGATAAAACACCCTTCCCTAAACTCATGCAGCCACGCAAGCAATAGAAGTCATCTTAAGAGTTAACTCCATTTTTATATAGCATGGAAAACTACCAAGCACTTTGATAGGAATCATCTCATGGAAAACTCCCAGGTAGAAACCATTCTGCACAGCACATGCATTTGCTAGTTCTCACTCCTCAGTCTTCATATTTCATAGAGTTATGAATGGCTCCAAACCTCGCTCTCTGACTCCTACGATCTCAGATGTTTCTAAAGCTTTTTTCTTTTCTGAAGTCTGCAATGGTATCACCAACCCTGCATGACAATCAATCCTCAGCCCACGGCACAGCTGCTGAGGCTGCAAACTGAGTGAGGTAAGCTACAGAGACAAACTTTTCTCCTTTATGATATGGAGAAAATATACAGGAAAAACTGATGTATTATTAAGCCACCACCGTTCTTCTGTATGTTTTTCAACATTTGAATTGCCAGTAATTATTTGAAGAGCAAATGAATATTGCTGACATCAAAAGGAATAGGCATCAAAAGTACAGTACTGTAGAAGTACAACTTTAGATCACACAAAAAGGGCACACATTGCTGAGTGACTTGTGGAACAGCCTGGGGGTATGCAAGAACCTACTCAGGAGAATTCATAAGCAGAACTGAACATGAGCATATCTTTCATGCCCATGATTATCACAGTCTCTACAGGTGACTTCAAAAGCAGACAGTAACTTCAAGGCACATTAGTCTATGAAAAGAGTTGTAACTGAAATATATACTATTATTGTTTATCTAAATTACACAAATGTTGTATGTTATAATGTGTTATATAGTATACAATATTATAGTATTACTAACAAGGCACATTGGATGAGGCTTTGAGCAACCTGGTCTAGTGGAAAGTGTCCCTGGCCTGTGGCAGAGGGTTAGAAATAAATGAGCTTTAAGGTCCCTTCCAACCCAAACCAATCTATGATTCGTTCTATGATTCTATGATATTATATATGAAAGAGTTAAAAGTGAAACAGAAGATTGCTTTACTTGAACTGAATGGCAAGGACTGTCAGTTGCAATCTATACTGACTTAAGTAATGTCTAAGTTTATCAAAGTGTTTTCTGGAGAGAGACTTTAAAACTAAACATCTAGAATTCTCTATTTCTGAGGTTCTCATTTCTACTCAATCAACCCAATTTAGTCAAAGGGAACTATTTTCAGTCTCCGGAAGCTGAGTGAGACTGTTTTGTCTCCAACCACAAGATTACAAGATTAATGAAGAAATTACTACACTTACTGTATTAAATACCCCTACAGTTCTGTGGACTTTTTGCCTTTCACATAGCCACCCTTTGATAAAACAGAAACATAAAAAGTATTTTCCCAGTGTTTTTTAAAGGCTTGATATGAACATGGTGTTCAGTTTGTACTTGGTCTCCAAGATACCAGTACAGCCCTGCAATGTAACTTATCAACTACTGATGTTAAGACAGTAGGGGGAGCATAAAAACACTGAAGCATGAGAAAAAGATTCCAGTGGCCCATATTAAAGAAAATGGTAACTTCTACCCCAAGAGTTGCAAGTCGTATGATAATTTGCACTGTTGTTGGAACATGAATATCTCCACTACACAACCACGGTTGTCAATCCTCTCCAAACCAGCACAGTAAAGCAATAAAGCAAAAGGTATGTTGCATCAATAGCCACTTTCTGATCTGTACCTGTTTTTCAACGTTTGGTTTGCTGATCTGTACAGTCTGAGGTCCAGCGAGCCTGGTACCCGGTGCTGCTATCACGATGCTGGTGAGCTGTGCCATAGGGAAAGTTTTGGCTATGGTTGCTGTCTGCCCATTAACTACACGAACGGGATGTATGGAGTTCTGAGAGTTGGGTAAAGAGGTGGGTGTGAACTTTGTTGTCAGCATCACAGGCCTCTGAATAAGCTGGGGAGCTGCAAGCATTGGAGGAGGTGCTGGGGCAATAGGAATGTTATTCTGAGCAACTGGTTTAGGTCGAACCTACAAAAAAAAAGAGAGAAAAAAAAGAGATTTTAATATATCAGTATTTCAGATGAACTTTCCTACTAAGTCTTTCAATTCAGCCTGTATAACCTGCAGAATGTTGTTTGGTTCTTTTACTGAATGTAATTTTTAGCATAGTATCCAAAGAATGTTATGAGAAGGAAAAGCCACATTTTCCAACCTACTTGCGTAAACCCATCTGTAACATCTGCATAGGCAGTCACTGTCCCTGAAATGGTATTTGGATGCACAGACTGCATATTGCATGTTTATTGCCAAATGCCTTATCTGTATCTAAATCTACATATTGGTTCTGCAAGCCAAAACATTCATGTCATATTTACAGGCAAAACTGAGGCTTTCATGTTCAAAGTGTGTCTCAGGGCTTTATACTGAGCCTCCAAGAAATCATAAACAGTTGATTGTGCCCTGAAAGAAATAGTAATTTTTTTCAGCAAATACCTGTTACCTTTGTCAACTCTATATATTATTTAGACCCCTGCACAACCAATCTTGCTAAGCAACAAAATTATCAAGATTATACATTAATCCATCACTGAAAGTGCTAAAAGCTACAGGTAAACGCAGTCATTGCTCTTTTCTTCTTTCAGAAGAAAGAAAAGAGCCACAAGAATCTTCCAATACACCACCACTAACACTTCCTTATTTCTTGCCCATTGTTAAGTCTGTATTTATCATATCATTACAAAGAACAGAAGTAGAAAACATTACTCTGAAAAGAAAGTCTTTTTCCTTACTTGATTCCTGTTGTCCTATCCACCTTTCATACTCCATAATGTATTTTATCATGGAAAACTAGGTCACTTTTCAACAGATCTTACCACCCCCAAATCTTCATCAGATACTAGCCTATATTTTTGTAAAAGAATTAGACTTCAATTCACAGCACCAGGTATTTCTTACAAATTCAATAGTTCCTCTGTATTTTTTCAATGAAGAAGCAATCTTTGTCTTTCCCAAACCATGAAAAACAAGTAAACCACAAGTTTCACTGCGCAGCTGCAAACAGAAGTCACTCTCTGTTGCAATACAGAAATACGTATACGTAGAAATATTTGAGAACAATCTAGAGGCATCTTCTTTTTCCTTCTTTGCTCATGAGCTGCAAGCAACAATTAGAGCAACTTAAGGCCTTGGATGATGCTTTGATTTTGACAACACCAGTTTTGTGGGCTCATTTCATTTGGTGCAAACAGGATCATATATGATCATATTACACGAAATTCATAATCACAGACTCACACAGGTTGAGAGACAGCTCAGGAGGTCTCCAATTTGACCTCTTGCTCAGATCAGGGCCAACACTAAATGCAGACAAGGTTTTGGTGAGGGTTTTGTCCAGGTAAGTCTTATAAAACTCCAAAGATGGAGCTTCCACAAAGTCTCTGGGAAACCTCTTCCACTCTTGATTGTCATCGAAGAGAGAAATGTTTCCTTATACACAGGCTAAACCTTCCCCATTCCAATTATGATCATTGCCTATAACTCTGCCAAGCACCTATGTCTCCATCTTCTTGTTAACTTCCTTGTTGATACTGAAAATAAGTCTGCTGTTAGGGTGCCTCCAAAATCTCTTCTCTAAACTGAACAACCCTAGATGCTTTGGGATGCAGGTCTTATATTCCAGTTGTGTCCCCATCCCATGTGTTCTCCCCAGCTATTTTGGTGGCTTCCCTCCCCAGGATTCATTCGCATTTTTTTGGGGATGAACTAGGAGTTCAAAATTACATGTTGCACATCAGATCCAGTTTTATGATTGCTGAGGAGAGGTGGATAATCTCTTCTCTTAACCTACTGGCTGTGGTCCTGGCTGTACAGCCCAATATGCTGCTAGGCTTCTTTGTCGCCAGGGCACACCTCTCGCTTAGCTACTGTCAACAAAGACCTTTGAAGCAGTGCTGCTCCCCAGCCAGCCAGTCTATCCAGGAGGTTCGTCCATTCCAGATGCAAGGCTGCCCTTTTCCATGCTGAAGCTCAAGAGATTCCTCCTGGCGCATTCCTCTGTCTAGAGGCCTCTGAAAGTCAACACTGCTCTCAAAAGTACTGACTGGAACCTCAAATGTGGCATCAACTGCAAACCTATTGAGGATGACTTGTCTCCTTCACCGAGTCACCAAGAAACACTGACAGAAATCATATTCATAGAATGCATCTCTCATCTATGCCATAATTAATTCCTTCTTCTATTGCTTATTCTCTTTACACTCACCTGTGGAAGAAAATTTGGACGAGGAGTAAGTCTGGGAGGAGGGATGAACTGCGGCACTTTTATGGGCTGAGGCGTAGCCTGAACCTGCTAGAAGAACATCAGAAAGTTCAGAAAGCAAAAGAACTTTGAAGTTGTTCATCAAAATCAACATCCTGAATGTATTTTCAGACGTGACATCCCTGGTTTTCCACTTTGTAACTTATTTTTTCATAGTAACAGGTTCCTCAAGAGAAATATGTTAAAGACAGAGCTAATTTTACTTAAACCTTGCTTCACAAATTGCAGGTATCTTCCCTTTTAGTTCAACTGTACTAACTACTGTGCTCTGTAATCTAAAACCATTTTGTTTGAAGATAATGAAAACTCCTATTTCTTTTAATAGTTAAAAAATGGCTTTACAACAGATGGAAAATCGTAACAGATTTCGATGTCCAGTTATATGAACCACTGTCCTTTTATACTGAACAGCATACGGAAGAATGAAAGAGCATCTCATGCAAATAGAAAAGATCTGGAAGTTCCAACTCCTTTAGCAATATTAATGACACTATGAGTGGCTCTAAATACACAACTTGAATTTTTCAGAATTAGGCCATTTATATGAAACACTAAGATCTGATTTTAAGGCATCCCTTAAAATCAGTACTAGACTACCTAAGTACTTCCCTGTCTAACTGAAATCAGTTGGATGGAGTTGCCACATGATTAAGCATTGAATAGCACTATTAGGTACCCTAAATTGAGTAGCTGGTGAGATTCTCTGAAATGAATGTCCATGTTAGCTTTCATCCTTATGTACTTCTGCCCACCCAGGTAAGATTGCAATTTACTTCAAAAAGGTCTTGTACTGATTAATACTTGGGAAAATACTCTGAGATTTTGGATGAAATTTGCTACAGAAACATAAATCATGGACTGTTATTAAAACAGACTCACCTCCCCAAACCTAAGTTATTCAGCAAAGAAATGAAGCACAGACACAAACGACAGATGAGAGTGGTGCAAGGGATGACATGGGAAAAGAGAACAGTAGAAAAACTCCACTCGAGTAGTCTCTTCTATTCTGATTGCAAACATATGCCTCACTAGGAAGCAAAATTCCCTCCGTATGTATTATTAAACTGTATTTTTTAATAAAGCTAAGTTGGATTTATGTTTAGTGAAGCCTTAGCCTTTTCTCCAGAAGTAAAATCTCCCCGTCATGATGCTATACAATGTCTGGTTTCCAGACCAAGAAGCCTATATAACCCAATCCTAAAACATTGCTTCTTTTATTTCTAGGTGGCCAACTATTCTGGAAAAAACTGTGTAGTGTAATCAAAGCACTTTCCAAAATACATGCTTAAAGAAGCAGGATCTGTGTATGTGTATGGAAAAGTGGTGAGTGAAGAAATGGTAGTGGGCAGAGTTAAAGAGATGTGTTTAACATCAGAGACTATCATGCAAAAGGGAATGAGAGAGGTTGTCTCAAAAAAAACTAAGATGAAAACCCCAACTGATCAAATGAAGAAAGTCTGACATCTCCTTTACCAAAGAAAACAGTAGGAATTCCACATAGATTAGGTAGGGGTGAAACAATCATTATTTCCCCATGCCTAACAATTACTAACAGGGGAAACTTTACACAGGGGTGAGGATAGCACTGATGTAATTCTATAAAGCAAAACAGTAATATCAACCCATGTAGATAGTAAATACTTCTCTCGTAGACTATCATATTAACAATGTCAACTTGTGAAGACTCACAACATGTCCCTACTATCCTCCTTTCTGTGCAAAAACCTGCCTGTTTTTTCCCCATAGCCCTCTTGTTAACCAAACCCACACATTGCTGCAGGGCAAACACACGAAACGCTTACCAAAGTTACTGTGTTTTTTGCCACTATTTGGACTGCCTCAGCTCCTGGCCCAGTGACCTTATTTGTTGTCTGGAGGTTGACTGGTGCATTCTGCGCATCAGTGCTGAGGACTGCTTTCTGATTGTTGTTGATAGCAGTAACCATGGCAATGGTAGGTCTCTGACCCACAACAGAGGCAGGCATGGTCGCAGTTGCTGCTTTCAAGACGAGAGGTAGTGTCTTAGTGGTGATCATAGAAGCTGTAGTTACAGTTTTCTAAGGAAAACAGAAAATACACTGTAAGAGACAGAGACACTTCGTATCAGACAGGACGTGGGTTGGTTAGTCAGAAACAATAGACAGTAAGAGAAAGAAAAGGCAGCACGGAGTCTATCTACCTGCTGTTCAGACAAGCACATTATCTTCTGCTTCTGAAAACTGAATAGCTAGAAAGGATTCTCATTTGAGGCACCTGTTGGGTCTATTTTAATCATCTGCAGCATTACAGATGGATTCAAAGCAAATTCCCAAGCAAATTATAACTAAGCATTAGTAGTGGCATATGCAGTTTCAAATCTTTTAGTTTCATATTACTACCAAACATATACTGCCAATATCAAATCTATAAGGTGGAGGTTTATGAAACATACCAGCAAACTGGCTTCTCACCAATTAAAACTCAAATTTTCAAGTGGAAACTCTATTTACAGAGATCCTCACAATCAGAGGAAGAGGGAAAAAACACATTCATAAATTTGTTTCTTTAAGAACAAAAGCGCCTTTTGATTTTGGGTATCCCAAACTTCAGTTTTAGCCATACACACTTTCCCTTAACTTTCTTTCCTAAACACTGAGTAGGACTATCCTGAAGTTCTAAGAGCTGGCTATTAGTCTGTCAGCAGCAGCAACTAAGTTTACCTTCTGTGAAATGGGCTGGGTTTGGAACACATATGTGATGCCATGATTGCTCTTGACCTCTTTTGAAGAGAGTGATTTTGAATCAGCTAATGCCAGCATTTATCTGAAATGCCTGAATGCACTATGCCCACGAATCGCAAACTTAAAACAACTATAATTTCATGGTTTTGTTTTAAAATGCACTGTCTTCTAAGATGGTAACGGAAAATGGACAATTACAAATCTTACTCAAAAAGCAACAAAGCAGGACAGTCTCCATATAAACCAGAACACAACATGCACAGAAAACTCATGGAAAGTGACACTCAACAGAATGGCAGGTGAGCTTATTTCTTTTTAGTGTAAGAAACCCCATTGTATCAATGGCACTGCATCTTCAAAACAGTTATTGGCATGATCAAAGGCTCTTAGGATGAAAAAACCACCATTCCCTCCTGATGTCAGCACTAGGCTCTATAAAGGGACAAAAAAGGAGAACCAGGGATCAGGCAGTTTTTTCCATCTTCTGAACATGCCTGATTGAGACTGCTTGATTTTAATCACACAAGACCTTTCTCTTCTTTGTAATAAAATAATGTATTTCCAGTTCGATTCTTCATATTATTTCCTTAAACAAAACAGCACTTTACCTTCATACCTCTAATTTCATAGTGGTTAGACTATATCCCCAACTGTTAATTATGCACAAGTGTGAAAATAATTCACTGTATAATGCCAAATCAAAGGATAATTCATGCTTCAATTTTATACATTTATACAAAATCCAGACATAATTAACTTTTCCTTGTTGCAACATGAACAAGTTTTTTCTATGAACTTTTGATCTGAGATTCAAGAGCTTCCTATCAACCTCTGCTGCACCTTCTCCAAAGCAAGAGGCTCCCTTCCCCTAATGCAGTAACATTAGTCAAGCTTTCCCAATGAGATGTAACGTGGTATCATTTTCATAAGCTCTACATTGACCCATAAACATTTTAAAGAAAAGTATAATCAATCATGTAATACAAGACTGTGACTCTTCCAAAGGGTTCTATTAAATGTGTAAGTACTAAAAGCATGGTTTCAGTCAGCAGATCACAGAGCTTGAATATCCGTGTTACGCTGCTGAGCATTAATTACCTTGGTTATTCTAAAAATGTTCAATGCATGAATTCATACTGACATGGCATTCATAGTAAGTCTGCATTTATTTCACATAATAACATTGCAATAATATGACCTTTTAGCAGGGTTGGTGCTTCATGGAGATTTCAAAAGCTCTTCTTACTGGACTATATTAAGTATATTAAAATGTCACTATTAAGGCAGCACATATACCTGGATTCTTCAATTGTATTACTCTGAAAATAACCATTGAAAGCATTCTCTTTACTAACACAGGCTTGAGAGACGTATTGCTTACAAAAGCAGGCACCAAAAAAGCTTTCTAGAGACACAAAGTATTTGACTTGTCTTTGCTGAAAGGGATTGAGGGGCAACATGACAGAGGCACAACCTTAGATGCAAAATGAGGCTATGTCAGAATTATACCAACATAAGTAAAAATAGAAAAGCATTAAGAATAAAAGCTGGTTTATTTATTCAAGTAAGAGGACGACCTGCCTTTCAGTTTGCACTTTCCAAGTTCAGCTGTATCAACGATACTCAGAAGGGTGCAGCAGTTTTTGACTGTTTCACTAGAGGGCTCTTTAACTTTGAAGAAAACCTCAGTCTTTACAACCCAGGAGATGACCTGGAAGTTAATGCATGAATGCAAAGTGTGGAATTCAGAGAAACATATGACACTGCTCTTGCAGTCATGTTTCCTGACTGAAAACAGCGATACAGCAAAGAATGATCCATTGTTTGCCTGTAAGTCTCTTACGACACAGTAATATTAACTTCTTTGTTCTGTTTTAGCTTTGATATTAATGTTGCTGCTCAGAAATGTCTTTTCCTTCGTTGAGTTTGCTTTGTTTCTGCAATATTCTTTTACCAAAAATACAGTTACCTAAGCGTCAGAAATACATTTTTAGAGCACATCCAACATAACTTCCTGTGTTAATGAGAGAACTAATAGCTCAACCATTTCTCCCTCCTCTGCTTCCAGGAAAAGGAAATACAGGAATCACAATTGGTTAAAGCTATGGTTGTGATTCACTGAAGTGTGCACAAAGTAAACTTCATGGGTAAACTCTGCCATATGCCTGACCAAAATCCCAAAACTCTGGTGAATTTTGGGATTATGTCTCTAATCCTATACTATACTGAAACTCCCAATAAAGACACTACTTACTAAAACTCAAACTTCACAATCAACATTGTACACTTCTAGATGAATCCTTGCAAACTCTGGTAAGTATGATTTGATATGGGTTACATCTGTTTAAAATGAACCAAGCAGAAAGAAGAGGGAACTGTTTTCTGACATTATGTTCACAGATAGTGGGCACTCTGTCAGTCTTTTAAAAGTAAAGTATTTTAATCATACACCTCATATAGCATGTGCAATGTCTTTACTGGTTCAAGATCTACTGGCTATGGACAATCATTCCTGCACATATAGAAAAGACAGGTTCATTTGCTAACTTTCACTTTTGTTGAAGAAAGGTGATACTGCCACCCTTCTTTTCTGTGAGGTTATGATTTGAATTTTAGACACTATATAACTTGACTCAGATAGGAAGTTATTGCCAAAACAAAACCACCCGTAAGACGCACCATACCTACCTACGCACAGGAGAGATTCATAGTGGTACATTAATGGGCGTAAGTGAAAGTTCACAACTTCTCTCTGCACTTTTGATTTTTTCACCTTTAGCAAGGAAAAGAATTACTGTAGAGATTTTTACCTGTGATCCAATCACGTTTGGAGAGGGTGCAGTAGACTGCTGCTGCTGTTGATGGTGATGCTGCTGTAGCTGTTGTAGTGGTTGCGGCTGTGGTGTCTGTAGTTTGTTTTCTGACTGTGCCAATGGCTGAATTTGAAACTTACTGTCTGGCTGTTCCTGCTTCACTATCAAATTCTTTCGAAGCTGTTCCACCACTCTTTTCTACCAGATAAACAAAAGCACAAACATAAACGATGGCAGTTATTTAGCTGCAAAGATTAGAGGAGATAAGAACTCTTAAAGTTACATTTATTTCATGTAAATAAAGAACTGTTCAGAAGCTTAATGGGATTTCTCTGTTTGGAATTTTAAATATTGGTGTTATCTAATAGGCACAGTGTCAAAACAGGCCCCAGAGGAGTATTGCTGCCCAGCAGGCTGACCTTGCTGTTCTTGCAGAAACCTACCCCCCAAAATTCAGCCTATTCACAAACCACTACAAGACCTCATTAACCTGTATTCACTTGAGACGCATTAGCATTCAGATTCCAAAGCTTCTGACTCCCTCAAACATGCACCATTTCTAAACAGTGATGAAAAAGGACTTCAGGTTGAAGCTTCAAGGCTAACTTCAGGGCAATGGGGATGCCTTTTTGTACCAGGCATCAAAACGGAGTGGAATGCAAAGTGGTGAATAGGAAGGGCATGAATATGTCGCAATCTGTTCAGTATTACTGTTACCTGAAGAAATCAGACAGGGCTACTTCTCTGGGAAGGAAATGGCACAGATTTATTTCTCCTGGCTTAAAGGCTTCCTATTACATTATAGTTTCCATGAAAGTTTGAAATTATCTAAGAAATAAGTTTCTTCTCCTCGTATGCATTGTGTATCTTTTCCTACACTCCATCCACCCCCAAATTAGGACAGCTTTAAAAACATTTAGATATATACTTAAGCCCTTTGAATCAAGAGCATACGAATACTCCAAAACAGTTATATAACATGGTTGGCTTCAGAAGAGGACAATGAAGTCACAGATGCGGTAGGGACCCAAGTGAGAAAGTTATAGTGGAAACAGAGATGGTCAGGACACCTCTACCGGAGCCAGGTGCCAACAGTGGGTTGACCCAGGCAGTTCCACTTACACAGAAAGGGAAAGAAAAGACCCACATTCTGACAACATCAGATGTTTTGATTTTTGTTTTGAAGCACTAGTATTAAGACAACACAAAACAGAGAGATGGAAGGAAAAAATAGTAAATCCAGCTATTTACAACCAACTGAAATAATTTTTTCCCTCAAATTCCTTTCATGTGGGATTATGAAACTCTGAGCTAACAAAATATCTGTTCTCTGCATAGTTCTTGTGGACATCCTGCAGAATTTTGATTCCCAGTATCTTGCTTATGGTGAGTTACAACTGCATGGTGCTACATACACTGTGTACCTCTAGCCTAGAAGATGACAAAAGGCGCAGAGTCCCAAATCAGCAGATTTGAGAACTGGAACTTTAAAAGCCAAATAAACCCCACAAGCAACCACACCGCCCCTGTTTCATAAGGTTGAAATGTTTAAGCTCACATGACTGACCTTTCTGCAAGAGACTGCATTCAGAAACTCGGAAGTGTGCAGAAGGAGGACTGACTGGCTTCTAGAAACCCCTCTGCCCTGGCTGGGAATACATGCTCAGCTCCAGACAGGAACAGTCAGGGAGTTGGTAATGGACAGCAGCATGAAGGCAGTATTTTACACTGCATCCAGAAAAGTGCTAAAAGCTGTCAAAGCCTAAAAGCTGTAAATTGTTTGTTCCCTTCTACAACAACGCAAATTACAACAGCAGTGTAGAAGGCATTTTTCTAATTCAGATATTTTACATAGTTTTAGATGGCCTGTGTCTATCAGCTTGTTTGTATATGTAGGAACTGCACGAGCATTTAAAGCTGCTTTCTGCGAAGATCCAGCGTGCAAACCAAAGTGCTGTGTCAGCAAGCAGATACAAGAGCTGAAAAAACATTTCCAGAGAGTAACCCAAGGGGGAGGAGAGGAAATAATGCAACATGCCTATGGAATACCTGCCAAAAAATGGACTGCACATACACTGCACACAGGAGGCTAAAGAATTACCGTACCCAGCACGAACAGGAAAGTAGGTTTTGTCTTCCACAGCTGCCTGCATGGAATTCAGTGATAATGGTGCTCTTCTACTGATTCCTTGACTGGAGGAAATCAGCAACAATGGCCCAAGAATTCGTTTCCATCTTGTTCTTTACAATGGGATGAACAGCAGTGAAAGGATTTTTGAAAGAATAAAAAGAGGGAGAGAAGAGAGGAAGAGGCAAACTGAAGGGCTTCCTTGCCCTAGTGCTATGGCAGGGTGAGAGCCAGCGAGGAGCAGGAGCGAGGTGAGTCACATCACACTCACATTGCTGCCTGTCCCACTCCCTGGGCCCGAACCACAGCCCACAGAGTTGGGCAAAAACAGGACCAAAGCACAACTTTTGTTAGTGCCTTGTGCACAAACGGCAGCTCAGCACATTTGGCACAAGATGGATAACGTGGGAGGAAGAACGCTGTTGCTCTGGAAGTCTGTGCTAGCCTGTTAGAGGCTGCTGAGAGCTGCCTGGCAGCAGCGTATCCTGCCATGCATATCCATTATGCAGATATTAAACTGGAAGAAACATCCAATGCTTTTAAGATTCAGAGAGTAAAACTGAAGTTTGCAGTGCATGCCAATTGCTTACGCGGTTTATTAAGCTGCTTCTACCAACTGTCAGTAAAAACACCACACTGCAACTCCAGAAATCATTTCACGACCTGCAAGACTGTTGGGATTATGTTTGTAAGTAGTTATCAGGAGGGCGACTCTAAACAACATATTCCAAAGTTGCTTAGCTTAATTAGCAAAACCAGATGAGACTCATAAGTGTGGCACCTACACAGGAACTAAGAGTAGATCTACAGTTATTTTCAGCACTACCCTCTGGTGCGTCCTTTTCAATCCACACCGTTGGTCTGACACCGTACGAGGCTCCTCCACAGCATCCTGCTGGAACCAGCATCCTGCTGGAAACGCTGTTCTGCAGCTGCACTAGAGCCCTGGCACATGTCTGCCTGCAGCAATGTTAGCAGAGCCTCATGTTGGAGGGGATGAAACAGGAGGGCAGCATGAAAGAAACTGTCTACTGTCAGACTTGATATGTCAAAAAAACTGCATTTTAAAATTGTTCTTCAGTTATTTGACCGTTCTTCATCAATTTTAGAGGGCAGTTTGTGCTGCAGAAAGTACAGTCTGTATGACTGAAATTTGCCAAGGCTGGTAGAAAGTCCTACTTACGTGCCTTAAGAGATCGAGAGCCAGTGAGGCAGGTTATCCAAAAGTACGACAGAACTCTAAGAAAATTTCCTACTTCTTTAAATGTAATCCTTGCCATTTTCCTTCCCACTCTCATTTAAGAATATTTAATTCAATTTAATTAAATTCTTACTGACAACTTCAAACTTTTAAATTGAGATTAACTCGATCATAAACACAACATGTTAGTTTTATACATGTCAGAAAGCTCTAACTCTCCCCGTAGTCCTAAAATAGTTTTGTTTCCTGCCACACCACAAATGTATGAAAAGCACTTGCCTTTCAAGTTCACTGTATTTCCCTCCAAGCTGAATGCCAATCCTCTCTTGACAGTCAGAATGTGAAAGAAATTAATAACCACATCCTTACTTCCAAACTGTATTCTACCCAAAAAGTAACTGCTAGTCCTCTGCAGGGGTTACTACAGGACTACTTCAACATCCACTGTTGAACAGTGCCCCTTAAGCACACTACATGATCTCATAGCTCTTGCTGTCTTGACATCTTTATCACTAATCTCATCAAGAACTGTTCACACCAGTGAGTTCACAGAGCCCCAGACATCCTACATGACCCGTTCTTAATGATAATAATTCTAATCAATATTGTGACATTTAGTGATACCACTTGCTCATTCATGCCACAGGCCAGATCCTAACACAGCATTAGAAGATTATTTTGGTTTGATTAAGCAGAAAATCTGCCTCTGTGTCTTGTGGGCCATGTATCTGTGCCAAAAGGTGTCTTCTCTGTGCTCATATAAAAAACTATCACGAATATGTTGCTGTAAGATAAGAAAAGTCCTTGGAGCAAACTTAAAGCTTAGTAAGGTTTCAGTATAACATTATTAGCTAAGCATTATTTCCATTTAAATCAATCAATCAATCAATATCAAAGTAGTTCTCTGAGTACAGCAATTTTCTTCTTCATCCAGGAAACCCATTCAGAAAAGCATACATATCCAAAGGAGGGTCTGGTTTTAAACTTCAAAAATCTATAGAAACTGAAATATAAGTATCTTCCAAAAATGAAAGAGACAAGTAAGTACTAAACAGCTCTGCAACACATACACTTCGTATCACAAAAACAAAGCTGATGTGGCTTGAATTGCTCAACTGCTAACTAGTGACCTGCTTTCCTGCTCCACCAATTCCAGGAAGTCAGCTAGTACGGATCCTCTGTTACCTGTTCCCTCCAATGACCAAGAAATGTTCTCTGAGGTATAAAAGTTGCCAATTGCTGCTAATGAAATAGTAGGAGAAAGTACAGATTTCAAATAAGCTCCAGTTAAGAGTGGTGAGAATGGAGGGGATTTCACTGCTTTGCAATCTTCCATCCCATCTCCCTTCTGCATTCCTTGCCAGCCCCATTTGCTGTTGGTACCCAAAGAGAAGGGAAATGCCTCTGCTTTTTGACAGAACAGAAAGATACCAAAACTTCTGTGGTGGAAAGAAGCTAAAAGATTTTGGAGCCCTGGCACAGTTAGTCTTTAACCCACAAAGACGGTGCATTTTGGGAGTGGAATTTGGGGATGGAAAGATTACCAGCATGGAGAATACTTGTACACTCCTCTGCTTCTTTAAGATAGTATCTAAAATTTAAAATAGTGAAATCCAATTATAGAAATTGATGATGCAGAATCTACACCAGTGAGGAAAGAAAACCTGTTGTACAGGACGACTTGAATCGCATTCCATTGAAAGAATGATCAAAGGACTGTAGAAGTATTTTCAGCTGTTTCTGTGGTTACACTGTGTTTTTATGGAATTTTGCACTTCTGGCTGTGTCAGAAGTGCAAATACCCAGCTCTCATACCCAGATCTTTTAATCAACAAAAAATCTAAGCCAACAAAATTAGAAAGAATTTTA